CAAACTAATATGATAGAAATACTGCAGAACAGACAGGGAGACTAGGTTTGAATTCTCTTTTGTGAGCACCTAAATTTGTCTTGCTTGACAAGCAATTTTCCTATCCTCCAACAGCCCCTCTTCCTGGTCTTATTTTTCTTACCTATAAAATGAGGAGGTGGGTTATTTTACTCTCAAAGAGTTGATGTCCCCTATTTTTATATTCTTCCATAATCATTTATCATCATTTGTTTTCCAAATTTTTATTCATTCAACAAAATGTTTTGAGCTCATACACCCGGAGTTAGGTGCTGGGAATATGGCCATGAGGAAGCCATCCGTGCCTTGATGAAATTTATGATCTTTCCCCCTTAGGAATCTTCCCCTTTTTAAACTGCAGTGAGTGGAATATCTATATTACTTATTTCAAAAGACATAATAAAACTAAAGATAATTCAACTTAAAATATATTTAAATCCAGAGCTTTCAAAAAATCCCCCACTCCTGCCAGAACGCACAAAGTGAAGCGTGCAGTGGCAGTTTCTAAGAAGCCCACTAGAGGGCGCGCACATTTTTTTATTCCCCAAGAACTCCTTTGTGTGGGTCCTGACCCAGAAGTTTGGCGTTGGTGTTTCTTTTCCCCACCTTCTACGCAACGTGGGGCAAGTGCGGCGACCCTTCAAGTTCTCTCCCTCCACTAACCCATCCTTACCCCATGCCGTGACTTCTCTGTCAAAAGGAAGAATTATATTGCTCACACAACCACAACAGTTTCGTTTCTGTTTCCAGCATTTGTCCTTCTGACATGTTAGAAGAAATAAGATCCAAGTTTGATGTTGAAAGCATTGATTTCTTTAGTGAGAGGATTTCTCCTCCCTATGTCTGCTCTCCTTGGTTGTGGGGGAAACACTTCTTTAAGGAGTTAGAGCAGCTCCTTTGAGCAAATCTTCCTAGGGAATCACAGGAATTTTTCTGAGCAGATGTTTTGGAGCTGACATTAGTCCCCTTGCTCAGCAGCATGTTGAGTTTTTGAGGTCCTGTCTTTTCATCTGAGTTTTATATTCTGAAGTGACAAGTTCTTGACCCCAAACATTAGTTTCAGCAACCCATGACTAACCCTCCTCACAAACCATGATCCAAGAGAAACATCCAACAATTTCCCCAAAGTTCTTTGCCTGGTGGTTGTCCTAGCACCTAAGCCTCACTCTTTATTTGATTCCAAAATTCCCTTACCTCCAAATGTCCATTCTGAGCTTTCTTTGAGAGTCAGCAAAGACATTAATGACATAGATTGTAAATATACCCTATTGTACGTGAATATGAAATTATCTTTTGAATAAGTGCCTCACAGGAAAGACTGGGAACATGGCTTGAGAAGAAGAAAAAAGCCAAGGAGAAGACAGGGCCTCCTTGCCCACCCCACCCATGCTTTCTGTGAACCTTAGCCAGCTTGCCCTTTAAGGAAATGAATTTCTCTCTCTCTCTCTCTCTCTCTCTCTCTCTCTCTCTCTCTCTCTCTCTGTGTGTGTGTGTGTGTGTGTGTGTGTGTGTGAAAGGTGTCAGAAGGCTTCTGAGGCTGTAGCTTTATGCAAATATGCTACTCAAGAAGAAGGCTTTAGGGGAGAGTTATTTATATCCCACAGGCATTACACATGCAAAAGGTGAAACTGAATCTCTGAATTTCCAGGAGTGGATATTCTTATGGTGAGCACATCCTTGTAGTTAGCTATTTTGGTGGCCTTATCTCACTGTCAGATTTTTGCAGGCAGGAGACTACATAATCATTCCATAATTTTAGAATGACCCTAGATGTTTCTCTTCAGTGGGACTTCATGACCTGAACTCTCTTGGGCTTTAGATTTACTACTACCTTGGATTTGTATGAATAGGGCATTCATTTCTTTTACTTTTAAACAGGTACAGCACTCAGCCATTAAAAAGTAATCAGGTGGCATGTTTATTGCTCTTTCATTTTCATATTGACTCCCGGAATTAGCAAAGAAAATGACCTTTTCTCTAGGAATTATTGCCCTGCTCCATTGCTGGCTCACCATCTCCAAAAATATCGACCATTCTCCAAATTGAAATATACATTAATCACTTCAGGAAATTGCTTCCTCCATTGGAAACTGATAGCTCTCATCGGAATGTTTCCAAAGCACAGCTGATGACAATTACGACTCACTGAAATTTCAGTTTTCTTTGATTGTGACATAAAAACTGAGACATAAATTAAAACTAATTATCCCTTAAGGGTAATTGGGTTTTATAAAACCAAGAGACTGTGAGTCAGTGTGTCAATATCACTGGAGTACAATGTCTGTCCCTGAAACAGTCTTTCATATGAAATGGTTGTGGATGAGGTTATCTGTGCACCAAGTATGCCAAGAGAGCACATCAGAGTGGGCGACAGACTTGGAGAAATATAGTTAGTTCCTAGGACATCTTGGAACAGTTGAAGTATGCTAAAACTGCAGTGATAAAGGGTTAAACAAAGTCCTGGACTTCACTTGTAATGGTGCCCACCGGTGGAACAAGGAACTTAGCACCATGACTCCAGCCAGTATCTGACTCTCCAAACTTGGTGAAAGAGATTCTTTCTCACCTGGAAGACAGGTGAGATCAGCTCCTTTGTTTTGTGCAATCTACATCATCAAAGTCCATAAGGTTTTCAGAAAGGGTGTGATCCACAAAAGCTACAGAAAAGAAAAAGATTTGTCATAAAACAAGTGCACAAGGAGAGCTTACTAAAGGAACCCATGGATTACTCTTAAATGTAGGGATTACCCACACATCTGCACATGTGGGTAATCCTTAATTAAAGGAACCCATGAATTATTCCTAAATGCAGGGATTACCCATACATCTGCACATGTGGGTAATCCCTGCATTTCAGAATAATCCACCGGCCAAGTGTAGTGGTTGACGCATGTAATCCCAGCACTATGGGAGGTCAAGGTGGGCAGACCACCTGAGGTCAGGAATTTGAGACTAGCCTGACCAACACGGCGAAACCACATCTCTACTAAAAATACAAAATTAGTCAGGTGTGACAGTGCATGCCTGTAATTCCAGCTACTTGGGAGGCTGAGACAGGAGAATCACTTGAACCTGGAAGGTGGAGGTTGTGGTGAGCCAAGATTGCAACATTGCCCTCCAGCCTGGACAACAAGAGTGAAACTCCATCTCAAAAATAATAATAATAATAATCCAGGGCCACCTACAGGGCCACCTCTTGATACTTCTTGGTATACTCTTTAGGTCAAATCCCATCCACTGAAACTTCCCAACATGGTACCCCAAAGCCTCTCATGACACAATCTGACTCCCCCATTTTGGATTTTTTAAAAGGTTTTACTTTCCTGTCTTCCCAGAGAATGTGTCACTCCCTCTCATTATGCACTGTTCATGTTTTTAAAAGCACACATGCCCATCACATGATGGTGAACTTTTCCTCTTTGTCTCTGACATTCACCTGAAAAGCTCCTGAAGGGACTTGATCATATCTTATTCCTCTTTGTTTTCCTAGTTGGGCACCTAGTAGAGCTCACAAAATGTTGCTGAACATAGTGCACCATTGACACAACATAATTCCAGATTTCTAACTTTGATTTCTGAAAGGTAAACATTGCTACAAGGTATTACCCACCCAGAAAACTCAAACAAACCCAACCATCTTCCAAACAAAACAGGTTTGTTTTTTGTTAGGGCACCCACTTCAACAAACAAATTTCCCAGGACAACATAAAGATCCACAGTAGGATTTCAAGCACACTTCTGTTTTCAGGGGCTGCACCAGTCCCCTGAGAGTCATGTGGGGAAAAAAAAATTCAAGGTCCAGGTAATTTCCACCACTCCTGGGAAACCAAGCCTGGAGAACTCTCTAGGGAAAAAGGTATGTCTACTCTGGGCTTCTGCAGCCTTATTTTATAATCCACTTACTTATCTACTGCTTCACAAAACCAAAGAGAAATAGGTACAAACTGTACCAGCGAAAGATCAGAACTGAATTCTCAACGGCAAAGGCAAGTGAGGCAAATTATAATGTACAAATTATAATTTGTACATTATAAATAGCAAAACAGCTGGCTTGGACCATGCTGCCAGCCAGTCACCCAGTTGAGGGATTTGAATGACATCATAACCCTTGAAAGGGGATTGCTAGCCAGCTGGTGTTATTTAGAATATACAAATATCAGAGAAAGAAAACACACTCTGGCACAGACTCCCTCAGTCTCTCTCTCTCTCTCTCTCTCTCTCTCTCTCTCTCTCTCTCTCTCTCACACACACACACACACACACACACACACACACAGGTTTGAATTATGCAGAAAATTCAAACTATAGGAAAATTGTTCCCCACCCCCCAGTACCCTTCTCTCAGAGTGGTGGAAGTGGGGAGGGGACAGTGACCAGCAGCCTAGCAGAAGAATAAAGAAAAATATTCTGTTTCAGTTGGTTTTACAGTTCGGCATAGTCTTTGCCTCATTGCAGGAGAAAAAGCATGAGATAGTGTCCTAAACGGACCAATTTCTTGCTGCCTGCCCCTGCATAGTTTCTAGGAAATGAGATCACTCCCCTCACTTGGCAACTAGGACAAGGGTTCACCTGAGTGCTGTCTTCCAATCTACTTTACCCGTCACTTCAAGGTTAAAACTGTAGAGTTTGCTGGAGAGGGTCTTTTCATCCTTTCTTGCTTTTTTTGTTTTAAATTTTGCATTTACTCTAGAATGTAAAATTGCTCACCCATCCCCCATGTATATTCCTTTAATACTGGTAGGGTGTATTAGCAGACATGTGTGTCTTCATGCCCAGCAGAAAGTTAATCAGAAAAAAAGATCCTTATTTTCTATGGCAGCATAAGTGTTTTAATGTCTGCTAACCCTGTCACTAACACACATTCTTTTAAGGGAAAAAATGCTTCTGTGCTCTAGTTTTAAAATGCAAAGGTATGATGTTATTTGTCCCCATGCCCAAAAAAGTCCTTACTCGATAACTTTGCCAGAAGAGGGAGAGAGAGAGAAGGCAAATGTTCCCCCAGCTGTTTCCTGTCTACAGTGTCTGTGTTTTGTAGATAAATGTGAGGATTTTCTCTAAATCCCTCTTCTGTTTGCTAAATCTCACTGTCACTGCTAAATTCAGAGCAGATAGAGCCTGCGCAATGGAATAAAGTCCTCAAAATTGAAATGTGACATTGCTCTCAACATCTCCCATCTCTCTGGATTTCTTTTTGCTTCATTATTCCTGCTAACCAATTCATTTTCAGACTTTGTACTTCAGAAGCAATGGGAAAAATCAGCAGTCTTCCAACCCAATTATTTAAGTGCTGCTTTTGTGATTTCTTGAAGGTAAATATTTCTTACTCTGAAGTCATTGGGGAATTTTATTTAAATTGTGTACTGTTTGCTTCTGCCTAGAACTGTTATTCACTTTTAAATGTTCATTGTTTTGGAACTGAGAGTTATTTATAAATTGCTGAATATGCAATTCTGTGGAATCTGAAAAATAGCTCGGGGAGATGGATGCATTTGCACAGATATCTGTATGAGTAGAAACTATTGCAAGGTACTTATGCTAAATCCTCCACTTCTGCAGGGCTTCTGTGGTGTCATTATAGAAGAGTCCTTTAAATCCTGTCTATGGCTAAGGGCTATAGAGCACGGATATTAACTTGGGGATTTTTTTCTTTTGCAGGTGCACATGTTTTATTTTTAAGACCATGCTTGTGTGTGTGATGTGTGTGTGTGTGTGTGTGTGTGTGTGTGTGTGTAACTCATCAGGACTTTATTTACAAGGCATGCCATATATGAAGGGTTATATTTCAGATGATATTAAGGCTTTCAAATATGATCTTTGGAGCTAAGGTCTCAGAACTGCACTTATGCCCAGAGAGTTAAAGTGTAATTTGTTCTTGCAGGAAAGAACTCCTTGACAACTCTTGCTGACCCTGTATATTTGTATAATTTAAACAAATACATACTGTATATAGAAAGCAGAAAGTTTCTAACAGCTGCTTGCCCAACCTTTCTGTTCAGAAGAGGACTTTCATGGGCACAGTTTGGACTTGGGGTTCTGTGTTGTAAAACTCTGATTTTATATTCAGTGTCATGAAGTCCCTTTAGGTAAATCTGGCTGCTGTTGTCAGTGCACCGACTTCTCATTTCCGATTGCTGGCCGTAGATCTAGTTTCCATTCTCAGCAATATTATATCCCTCACGACTTGGGTATTTTCAATTTGCAAGGGCTTTTAAGCTGCTGTCACTGGCTCCACTGATGCAATTGCCTGAGGCTCAATTCATAAGATCCCTCTGCCACTTAGTGCAGCACTCACCGGCTGCTTTCAAACACTTCACCGCTAGGACTTTCCCTAGTCAAGTAAGTGGCTCCGGGAGTTAAAGGTACACCCTTGTCAGGCACCTGATTCTGCTGTTCCTGAGATGCCAACACAGGCAGGCCACCTTGCTTTCAAAGAAATGACGTCACCACTATGCATACATACTATGTGGTCTAGCACCTGGAGTTTTTGTCTCCCTACTTAGGGGATCATAAAAGAGGCCGTTGAACATTATCTCTGCGTTAATTACAAGTTAAGAAAATTGTCTCCAAATGCACTTTTCATGCGCTGTATGCTGAACGTTTCAGGAGTGGAGCTCGTAATAAGTTGTTACTTTTTTCTGTACTTGAGGCAGAAAGTGGTTTGAGGGAGCTGCTTGGTCTTTCATAGGTAATTCAGTGAGTAAAGTTGTCCTGCCCAGAGGCAGAACTCACAAGCTGATTGTACTGAGTTTCAAGGTATTTCCAAGAGAATGAGTCTGGGGAAGGGAGTTAGGGAGTAGACTGGAGCTTGGGTCACTATCTGGGCGGCTGCAATAGGCATACAATGAAAATAGGTGGCTAGACTGGGGGGAAAAGATTGACTTAAATCCCAGCTGTGCAATTTGTTCATTGTTTGAATGGACAAAAGGCAGTTTGCCCAGCTGCATAGCATACCTGCCTGGGTGTCCAAATGTAATTAGATGCTTTCATAAACCCCACCCACAAAGCAGCACATGGTTTTAAGACCTCAGTTTTCTATTCACATCCGTCTCATAATACCCACCCTGACCTGCTGTAAAAGACCTGAAACAAGCAAAAGTGATTACACCTACAGTGAGTATTTTCTTATGACTATTGCCCTCAAATTTTACCGGGCATTTTCATTGCAGTCTAGACATCTGGAATCAATTAATATTCCACTTATTTACGATTAAAAAAAAAAGAGAAAGGGCTTTCAAAATTTGGGTTTGTGCATGATTTTCAAGAAAATGTTTTCTGATTCTTTTTTCTTTTTTTCTCTCGTCTTTGATTCTTCCCTTTTTTCCTATCATATCTTTCCTTTCTTTCCATGTGTTTCTTTTGTGTTTGGCAAAATAAAAGGCCAAGGAAATAATGAACATATGGGGCCACTTGTTTCACACTTTTAACTCCTAAGTTTGGTTTTGTTTTCCATTGTGGGAACATAATGTGATAAAATCTCTGGTTCTCTGTGGGTATACTGGACTATTACCTAAGCTCAAGGAAAATGCAGCAGACGTTCTGTCTTGTACTAGAACGGTAGGTACTGAGATTTATCTGACAACATAGCTCAGCAAAAAAGAAAAGAAAGAAAGGAAGAAAAAGGAAAAGCTATTTTAAAACTCTTAAATTCTTAAGTTCTAGAGATTTATATGTATTGCTGCACTTAAATGTGTTATACTAGAACTATTAAAAATACAGTTTTGACATCTAATGAAGTTTGAAATTCACTGAGGCTATAACTTGAGTAATTTATTTCTCTGGATTTCACAAACACTGAAGAATCTGAAGCCATCTACAGTTGCAGGTGCTTAGCCTTCAGCATTGCTATTAAGTCAACAAAGAAGGGTGGGGTGGAGAAATAGAATTTGGTAGAATAACACACTTTCTAGAACTGGCCCATTCCCACAGTGTGGGGATATGCTCTGTAAGATCAATCACAGGTTTGTTCTTTTGAAAAAGGCCATGAGGTCCAGTTGGGCTGGATCTGTTGAGGTTTCTACTGGAAATCTTGAACAGGAAAACTCCCATTACTTATTTTATAACTAAAAAAATAAGAAGAAGAAGAAGAACTGGATGATAACTTGCTTCTACCAGTCCCGGGCTATGGAGGGGGTAGATTTCCATGCAGAGATCCTGTTGAGGAAAATGCGATAAATGTTCTATTGAGCTTTTTTCCCTCCTCTTCTATTTTATGTTCATTATTTATGATGATTTACAAATAGAGGGCGCTTTTCATCTTCAAATGTTTTATAAGAATTAACTAAATATTTGCGTTGTGTTAATGAGAGACAGGAGTTTGGGTTCTTTGGTTTTTTTTTTTTTTTTTCTTTTTCTTTTTTTTTTTTTTCAATTGCTGAGCTGAAGGTCTGACTATAAAAATGGAAATCTTCATTAGAATGATGGGGGAAATTTTGTCAGTGATGTAGAGCCATTTAATTAAGAGTCCATGGAGGGCAAGGAGGGTGGTCAGAAAATAAATGACTGAGTCTATTTCTCCAAAAATGATGGATTTGAATGGACCTACCGCTACTATAAGGTTCGTAAAAGCCTCCTTTTATAACAATAATTTCCAACGTAACTCCACAACCCTTTTAATAGGGCCTCTCACCTAACACCCCATCAGTGACTCTTTCCATGATGCTGAAAGTAGATGCATCTGAGAGAAGTGAAGCCACTCACATTGGGAGGTTTCTTGGAAGAAGCCACCACATCTTTGTGCCATAAGTAACAATATAGGAAAACTTAATGATCACCTTAGCATAGTTTCTACTATTTAGAGTGAGGATAGAGACTTAAGCCACAGAACTGCTGCTTTTGGCAAGGCTGCCACTTGTCTGTCTGCCATTCACTAAGTCATGCCAACCAGGGGTCCCTCGGCATATTTTTCTATAAAATAGATACAGTGACACATAAGTCCCTCCAAGAGATGAAGCCAGAATTCCTGTGACTAAAAATAAAATATTTTTGCAGGTTTGAGCCCAGTGCTGTATACACAGAAGGGATTCCCCACACATGTTGATTTGATATTGGACTTGAGGCAAGGGGCTTTAGAATGCAGAAGAAGTGGCTTCTCCTTGAGCCAATTTCATTCTTTGATTCTCATATTTTTTTCTGTTTCTGTTATTTTTCTTCTATTTGTGGTTATGTCAACGGTTGATACTCCCCAGGTTAGGAATCAGTCTCTCTCTCTCTCTCTCTCTCTCTCTCTCTCTCTCTCTCTCTGACTCTCTCTGTCTCTGTCTCTTTCTCATGTTAAGACATATTATCATGTTTGATAATATATAGTATTGTCAAAAGCCTTTTTTTTTGCCCATAGTAAAAAAATAGGGAATGATGTTTGGTTAAAAATATTTTGGTCAATAATGAATGCATATACCATCTGTGGATGGCCAGTATTGAGAGACTTCAAATTAACAAAACTTATTTGGTTCCAAATATGTACTGGGCACAATTTAACCTTTGATTAATTCAAAAGTTCTATCAGGGTCTCAGAATGGTATGGGATCTCACTGTAATAATAGCATCTTTCATTTCCATAGTAAATGTTTCTAGATATTTTATCTCAATTCATTGAAATAGGAACCCATAAAGAAGGGGTTCAGAGAGGATTCCTCCAAGGATCCACAGTAGCCAGGGGAATAAACACAGGTTTCTGGATGCCAAGACATGCTACATCCATAACTCCCACTGGGTTCTCATGTTCTCTGTTGCACTTCTGTGCCAGGTAGTCCTGATTAATGACAGTCATGTAATCATGGGACTCTCGGTGCACTTCTGTCCCACCCCACTTCCCTTGCAAGGACCAAGAAGGAAACTTGACCATCCTTCTGTTTCTTGGGCAGGTGAAGATGCACACCATGTCCTCCTCGCATCTCTTCTACCTGGCTCTGTGCCTGCTCACCTTCACCAGCTCTGCCACAGCTGGACCAGAGACGCTCTGTGGGGCTGAGCTGGTGGATGCTCTCCAGTTCGTGTGTGGAGAAAGGGGCTTTTATTTCAGTAAGTATCCCTCCCTCTCACTGTGCTGCTCAAGTCTAAAGTGTACAGCTCTGTGGATTTACAACCACAGGGAGTGTGTGAATAACTGAATGACTGCCCGTGTCTGGCAGCCATCCTAGATCTCTAGGATTCCTCACCTTAAAGTAAGCATAGTGTTTCAGCGGGGCTTTGGCAGGTTTTGCAGATCTAGGATGGAATTTTCCTCCTTAACAATTAGTCTTTAAATACTTCCTGCTAAGCCTTCTTTCAGCTATTATAATCTGCCCTCACTGTTCCATTCCTTTCAATGAAAGGATAGCACAAAATAACCCTGAGTTATTGATGTTTTTGTTTTCAAAATCTATGGGTGCACATATAAACATATGGAACCCATGTGAGGCTGCTTTAAGTGCTATATGATTTGGAGTAAAATAGTAAGAACTCTTCAGTCATGTGGATCTGGAAAAAAAGCATTAAAGGGCATATCCTAAATGTCTCCATTCAATATGAAATCACCATGGACAGAAGGTGAACTCCACTTAAAGGCATGTTTGCAAGCACGTAGACTGTCTCTAAATGCAAGCTGAAATGCCATACTGATTTGCCCTCTTTGCCAATTGACCTTGATTTTTTCTTATTGCTCTCTATTGGCATATTTCTTCTCTGGGACCCTTCAGTGATATCACCATCTGGAAAAGGATCTCTGACAAGTACAGGGTCACTTATCTCCAGGTCACTTATCTCTTAGGTGATTAGAAAGTCAACAGCCATTAAAAGGTAGACAGCCAAGTCAAGTTGTGTAAATAATAAGCACAAGCAAAAGTCAGTGATACCTATGGAAACTGCTCACTTAAAGAATTTAGCTCCCATGCATTTAACTCACTGTATATTATAGGACAGTGAAAGATTTAAAGCCAGATGCTCATTCCGTATAATTCTTTGGAGTTTTAGAGAGTTCCAGGAAACTGAGCATGAATCATTCTTAAAGCTTCATATCACTCCAGTGTAGACAGCTTACCTCAGTTACCCACTGTGCTCTGAATAGCTTCTGTGATGACTCACACACTTGAAGTCTCTCTCATCTTCTTCCCAAATGTCAGCCTCTCTCTAGGCTGGTGGGGTATATATGTGTATGACTGGCAGGATAGAGGGTGGCCTGTGTGTACAGATCTGGAGATAAGTAAGGGAGATGGGAAGAAAGAGGCTGGTGAGGGGATTGGTCATCAGTACTTACAGTGGATTCCTCAACAAATAGTTTTTAAATCACTAGTGACAAAGAATCACAAGTTCCTTCTACTATTGAATAGGCAAATTCCCACTATTTGCTCATAGTCAATGCTTTAATTGAGTAAATTCATTTATTTTCCTGGCAATAAAGCAATTCTATCCAGTTCTCTGTTGCAGAGGAGATGAATGAATGTATTGGGTGAGTGATTTTCCAATAGCAGACTTGTTTTACCTTTAAAATATCCTGTGGAAGATAACGGTGGGACCTCACATGATCCAACAGTGGGTCATAATTATTCTATAATTTGAAGCTACTGATCCACATTTTTTAAAAATAAAAGTGGTTCTCACTTACTATGCCCAAGAGGACTTTTTTTTTTTTTTTTTTTTTTTTTTTTTTGCCTTGATAATCCATTTCTGCAATTTCCTTTGATCCGGTTCACTAGGTAATTGCCAAGTCTGGAAGTGTCCTTTGTTTTGTGCCAGATTGAATTGTGGCATTCGACATGACATGCTCCAGAATTTCCATGTACAGTGCATGAAAACTGGATCCTTCTATGCCTATGATGTTTGCATTAAATGATGAAAAATGAGAATGGAAAAGAAATGATTGTTCCTAAGTATCTGTATGATATTTATATGTGTTTGCACAGATACTTAAGAATATTGGACAACTAAAATGGAAACCAATTTCCAGGTTCTCTTATTCTGTTACTGCAACAATCAAATTTCAGCAAGTTTTTAAAAATTATGTCTGAATAACTTGAAAAGGAAAAGTTACATATAGCAACTCTTGATGTTTACTGTATGACTCTAGCTAGAAAGTGGTTCTGTAAATCATATGTTGTTGTCAGTATTGTCATTGAAATATGTGTGTCATGTGCTTTTCCTTATAAAATTCTGTGACTTATGTGAATCTGACATACCCTCCTGCACAAAAGTGTCCAACATAACTTCATGCACAAAAGTATTCTCATTAACATTCTAGTCAATTGGACAATCTTATTTGCCCAAAAGAAGTTAGTCTATTTAGATTATTTTAATTTAATTGAAAACATTGATGGAGCATCTGTTATGTGTAAGCATTGGACAAGGCATGAATGAGATGCCTAGAAATGAATGAGCGATTGACCTTGACTTCAAGGGGCTTAGTTGAGTTGAGTGGTAAAAGAAAAATGCAATAAGTTATTGTCGTAAGAGAAAAATAACCATGGGGAATAGATTATATCCTTTATGTTTTTCCTGAGCATTTTGTCCCATTTGTGGTCTCACCTTACAAGGGTCTACCCTTCCAAGAATAATACCCCATCAGTGGGCTCCTTGATGCCAAAGGACATATTTATTTACCTTTGAATCCAAGTGTCTATCTCATTGCCTGGATGCTATGTTAGCTGCCCATATTTGATTGTTGGACAGGATTGAATTGAAGTGAATCCAGTTGAATTCAATTGAATTGAATGGAATTACTTGTTTGGGATCTTAGTCTTAAGAACCATCAAGGTTGTCAAGTACTGTGGACAATACTTCTCATCTCATGGTTATCCAGTTATTTAATAAAACTGCTTTTCTTTTGTTGAACTGAAGAAAATATATACTAACAATGACTTAGAAGCTGCTGCAGTTTGGTCATCCCCAAGCTACATTGATGTCTGTTTTGTGTCTGAGCCAATTATTCTTACAGGCATTAACTGTTGTCTACAAATTTCACTTAGTTTCCTTTTCATCCCCTGAGATGTACTGTGTATGGAGAAGTCAGCTCTAAGCATATAGTCTTTGAAATATGTTTTAGATGAAAGCATTCTTCTCCACCTCTATACACTGTCAGTTGACTCTCATTATTCTTGTTATGCTTATTTTCAAAGTTTTATTGTGGCTGTGTGTTTTATTTTAAACTGCTTCAAATCCATTTTGGAAGTATAATTTTTTTAGTAGTAGAAGGCAGCTTCTAATTTTAGTTTGAAATTCAAACATCTAAAAGAAAATTGCCTCCATATCTATCATTTTTGTCAATCACAATATTTAACAAGGAGAGTTTTTCAACTCTCTTAGAACTGTTCTGCATAAAACTTTTTGTAATGCTTACTGCGTGTAGATTTACCCCCTGTTGTGAATGAGCTCATATTTCCCTTCAAGCCCAAGTTCCACTACAGCACAGTGGAAGCAGCCTTCTAGATTATCTGTTTGTGAACATTATCCCATCATAAATGGAAGAGTTCATGTATAATTAATGCAGCTTCCCCAGACATTTTATGAAATGAAAGATCCAATGAAGAGCTAATTACTGATTCTTCCCTATGCATCACAGGGAAGATAGGAGAGCCCATCAGCCAGCCTTGTGTTCTTGTAGTCCTGTGAGAAAAATGGTGGCATAATGGAGATGAACCACATTTGGAAGGAGCTAGCTATTTTCTTACTAGATTGATGGAGCCCTTATGAAGGGTGGTTCATAACAACCTCATTTTTGCATGAAAAACACCAAGAGAAAAAGAGTTCCAAGTGAAATAGGAGAAGTGAAGCTTACAATAGATATAATTTTTGACAGCCATGGTGATTAACCATTTAACATGCTGCTATGGGCCTGTGGAATTTCTCTCCTGGGAGATTCTTTAAAAATTGACAGACAACCAACCATCTTGAATGGTTCCAATTAAGAACAACTGAAAGAAAGAGAGGTTTTGGGGTATTTTTTTAGTTTTAAGAGCCTATAAACAGTACCTTAAATAAACTGTATATGCTTTACCTTGGTGGTCTGGGGAAAAGGAGAAGTAGATCAATTAGAAAAGAAAGTTGGATATTCTTGCAACTCTTCAGGATTTATAGCTTTTGTAAAACATATTTCCAATGTATAGTTATTAAGAATAGGTCTGAATAAACGAACGGCATTCTTCATGTGTTAAAACAGACTGTTTTGTAAGGACTTTAAGTGAAACTTTACAATGAACTTTCATCATTATTGATTGCAACAACCTTCTTTGACCTAGGTTATTATTATTAAGTTAAGCTTGTTTCCTTTGATACATACTGCCCGGAAAACTGCTCCCAGACCTGTCATTCATTAGCTGTAGGACTTTGGCAGGCATTTAAATTTCCTGGGTCTAAATGTCCTTGTTCATAAAACAAGGGAATTTTATTAAAGTAAATGACCTCTTCTAACTTTAGCAGAGTCATAGTCTAGGTTGTAATTAACAACGCTCTGCTGCTATGTAAGAAAAAAGAACCTTGGATTTAAGTAGTGACCAAAGAACATTCAGTCTCTTGTATCTTATTTACGTAGTTTCTGTTGGTCCCAAGAGATAGGAGATTCCACCCACTTAAAGTAAGAGGAACCAGATTCTTCGTTTTGTTTTGCTTTAAGCCGATTGCTACGCCTCGGGGATGGAATAGAAGCTCAGATATGACCAATAAAATGCATGTCTTTTGGACGAAGGATCCAAAGCAGCACACACCTCATGAAAAGAAACTCATTTTTCTTTGTTAGGATAGACCCACTGACAGTTTCTATCTTTACATTCTCTCACTCTCCTGGCTTTGAGGTCGAGCACATTCATTTTTAGATGCCCTTTATTAAATTAGAGGCGACAAATAAGAATCTATGGGTTTCTAAACCTCTTCCCAACCTATTATCTTTTCAATTAAAGAAAGTGTAAATTGGGGCATTTGACATCACACTAATCCATCATTAGCATTGTTTTGAGTGGGGCTGGGTTTGAGCTGCACCGTTTTCCTTTGATTGGTACCCCTTAGACTGCTTGCTGTGCATCTGTGTAACAGCTGGTCAAAGTTAGGAATACAGT